AGTTTGAAAGTTGAAATGTCTGAAACGCTATGTGATACAGTACAGTTTACACAGCAGTACATGTTCTGTAGCTACTATTGCACTAAATGCTAACACTTGAATACGTTATGCAAATATGCAACTTGTTTGTTGAAATGTTAATAAATGGGAGCTTCCTCAAACAGCCATCTCTTTCCCGACAATCCCCTCTGTGCACGAACCCTTACATATGGTAATTAAACATTAAAACACCTGCGGCTTATAGTCCAGTGCGGCGGCTTATATATGTACACATCATTCAATTTAGCTGCTGCGGCTTATATTCAGGTGCGCCTTATAGTCCGAAAATTACGGTGCTTGCATTTTGGACTGACAAAACAAATGATATAAAGAAATCAACTTTGACTTTTAAAGACTGAGATGGACTTTTTAGACGATTTTCATTTTATACACCAAAACATTCATTTAGAAAATAACAGTATATATATTATTAGCTGTGCCTGATTGATGTTATGGAGCTAATACTGATGCTACTACCTGATGTCTCCCTCAGTGGACCGGCTGCTGAGCCCCTCGTACCGCCGGCTGACCCCCCTGGAGGAGCAGCTGAAGGAGCTGCTGGAGAAGCTGGACCTGAGCACGGCCATGAAGCACAGCCCGTCCCGCAGCAAGAGGCTCAAGCTGCTCAAGAAGACCATCATGGAGGTGCGCAGCGAGATGAGCCTCAAGACGACACCAGCGACGGCCCCCAAGCCTGACTCGTCAGAATCAGAGGAGAAACAACTACCTGAGCCCCCGGCAGAGCCTTGCTCCCCTCCCGAGAAAAAGCCTTCCCCTTCGCCCACGTTAGAGCTGTTAGCGTCGCTGTCGCACTTCCACTCGTCGTCTGGTGACTCGAAACCTCTGGACTCCGTCAAACCCGGCGTCCCCATGGAGCTCGACGGCGACACATCTACCTCAGAGTCCCCCAGCAGGCCCAACGGACACGCCCCCGACCCGCCTCTCTCCAACGGCGACATCCACACCAAAGCCTCTGGCGCCTGCAACCGACGCAACAACAACGTCTTCTTCCGCAAGTCCAAGAGCGCCAGCCCCCAGAAACCTCACAAGACTCAGGGGGCGTCCGTGGTGTCGCCGCTCGGTGCCAAAACCTTCCTGTCGGTGGTGATCCCTCGCCTGGAGACGCTGCTGCTGCCCAAGAAGAGGAGACGCAGCAGCAGCGCCGACGGAGACGAGGAGGACGAGGAGTCGCCGATAAAACGCCTCGGCACAGGTAAGGACTCGTGATTCAGTTAATGATTCAAAGGCTTTAATGTCATATGCTCTGTAGCTACGGGGTGGATACGGCCATGAGTATCTTGAGTCCCAAGCTACTCCAACAATGCAACATAGTATATATCAGACAAACAATAAGAAACGGAGTAGAATACAAGATGCTGTTCTGAGACCAACGTGCGAGTAATGTAGATGAGCTAAACTATATGCATGTCAGAAAACTAAACAAATACAATAAGCTAACTGTTGTAAATGCAGGAGTATGTAAATAGAATGAGAAACACAAGGACAGAATGTAAAATTAAATACTGTTTAGTGTAGTAATAAATATGAAGAGGCGTTTGTACCATTGATGTATAAGAACTGGATACAGCATGGGAGGCGGGGCCTCGTTCTTTCCTATGAGAGCTGCTCATTGGCGCATGAAGACAACTTTTGAGAGAGCGTAACGTCACGAAAGTATTCATATAATCATACAATCCGTTCTTATTGTGCGTCCATGGGTAAAGCTAAAACTCAGGTAGTGCTGGACACGTCACATGAACGTACCAGGCGGTGGGTTAGATGCCCGTTCATAATGCAGAGGGAAATAACTCTCAGAATAACGTTATCAGCACATTTTACAACTTGAGGACCGAATGTTTTTTAAGGGCTATACAAGTGTTCATACTGGGTGGTTTATTTCGTTTAAAAAAAATTATCCAACGATTTACAGACTCAATGGGAAAAAGTGTTTCCGGGCCCAGCGACGGTACGGAAGTGTAGTACTGCCGTTTGGCCACAACGAATATTATCACACTTCCTGCGGGCTTGGTATGTGCGCTCACTGAGCATGCGCCCCTTAAGACGTCTGATTTGCAGACGTCTCTTTCCCCATGTTAGTCAATGGGGGAAAGTTGTTTTGGGCCGGGTGACGTCACGGACTGATACGGAAGTTGCAGTACCGCCGTTTGGGCACAACGAATGTTGGGCACAGAGTCCTTGAACTATACTGACAATGTTTCTGTTCTTCTACCTTCAGGCATAGCCAACGGTTTTGTGGTGGAGGAAGAAGGGGAAATCTCTCCGTCTCCACGACTGCTGGAGCCTCGGCGCCGCTGTGCCTCCGAGTCGAGCATCTCCTCCAGCGGGAGCGTCCTCTGCAGCACCAGGTGAGTCCGGAGGAAAAGAACAGACACTGTGATGGGGCTCATTAGAATCAAAAGAAGTAGGTTTACACATACGAGGTATTTGCCTTGGTATCAGCTGGATAGTTTTGCAATCATTTCCTTCAGCGATGCTGATATGTGACAGGAGAAGTTAGTAGCTGAGGTCTACAGGGGACTTGGAGCAAAAATACCAAGTTGTATAAAAACAGATTTACTTTTTTTAACTCACTGGGTGTTTCTCAATGTCGAGGACGCTTCCTTGGTAGGACATGTCTTCCGAGTCACTTCCTTCAGAAGCTAGGCAAGAATCCTTCCTGGCATTGGGAGAACGAAGAGTGGAACAGGCTAGCTAGTGTGCGTCATATGAGAGGCCCCGCCTTAAATGTTCCGCCACAGATTTTGGGAAATTGTTCCGTGCGCAAAGCATTGTGGGGATTTTAAGACCGCGGAGGATACACATGTGCAGCCTCGAAATGTCTCGCTACGAAGGACGCCGGGCTCGGTAGAATTCCAAGGAGCCTGGCCATTGGAACAGTCCTTCGGCGGCACTCGATGTTGTAGCATCCTTGAAATAGTGGCTCTGGAGCATCCTTCCTTGACATTGAGAAACACCCCATGTCCTGTACTGGAAGCCTAACCTTTGATTCGGACCCGGCTTTGATATTCCTTACATGTAAAGTTTGAGATATCTAATATCTAAACAATATTTTTTTCATTATAACAAGAAAACACCTTATTTTCTCGTAAAACACAAGAATATTAAGACAAATATGACCCTTTTTACTTTTGTTTTCTCTCGTGGATCGACTGTAAGAAACAGGTTTAATAAAAAAAAATATCGCCCAGCTACACAACAAACCATTACACCTTCTGACAGTATGATACATCCAAAAGAGAGACAGTTATTTGAGTTATGTAAAAGAGTCAACCATTGTTTGTTGAAATCATTTTGCATGTGCTGATAATGAGAAGAAATATAATAAAATAAAACTAGAAAGACCTTGCTGTAATTTAAATGATCACACTTTAACAGGAAGCTTGGCATATTTAGTTTTAGTATTTAGTTACTTTAGTTTTAAAGTTGATCCGCAGTTTCAGACCCTCCTCACTCGAGATGTTTCGTACCTTTTCCCTTACCTTAGCTTTTCCTTCGTCTCTTCCAGCACCGTCATCGTGTCTAAAAGCGGTAAAGGGCGGTCGCCGGCGGCTCGACGGAGCACGGTGGACGACAAGAGCACTCTGATGACCTGCATCGAGAACGGGGAGTTCCCCAAAGCTGCCAAAGTGTCTCCAGGTGAGCCGAGCACCGTCCGTCTGTCCGTCTGCATGAAACCGCACGGCACGCTTTCCACCCCCTGATCTACTCATTAAAGACTCTCTGTAAATATCCTAACCCTGTTAATGTGCCGGTGTGTATTGTTGTTATTCCCTCACATCAATTTCTTTCTACGGTTCCACCTGCGCAAGCCAATGAGGTTAAAGTCGGTTTGAATATAGTTTACCAAACTCACACTGGGTTTCAAACTGAGGTTCAGGGGCCCCTCGAGGTCCTGCAGGAAGTCAGCAGAGACTCAAAGCTGCAGCCCGACAGGAAGTGGTGAAATAAAAACAGGAAGCATGTGATCGAAGTGTTCAGACAGTTGTAGAATCACATTAGGACTGCTCAGCCAACAAAATGGGCGGTTGGCTTGGCAACTGGAAGGTCACCAGTTCAAGTCCCGGCAAGACCGAGTGCTACCGAGGTGTCCCTGAGCAAGGCGCCGTTCCCTACACTGCTCCCCGGGCGCCGTTCAAAATGGCAGCACACTGCTCCTAACACTAGGATGGGTCAAATGCAGAGACACAATTTCCCCACGGGGTTTAATAAAAGTCCATCTTTATCTTATCTTAAAATCCAGTCCATTCAGCCGATTATCTTTGGTTTTACGTGTGAAAAATGCACATCATATACAGCTAGTCTCATTCCATTAAACACTTTTATCCGGTGGAATAATAAAGTACAATATATTTAAAAAATACACAGCAGAAGAACATGTGCAATTCTGAGCTAAATAACCAAAACAATTTAGAAACCAATGCTTTATTTGATCACAATTTGATGAACAGAAATACTAGTTACTACAAAAACAGTAGGACTTCTGAAAATGACAGCGGATTACAGAGAGCCTCAGTTCATTCAAAGAAAACAGAAGCTCCTCCCTAAGTGTGTTGTTCAATGTGACAATGTGAGGGAATCTGAGCTTAGTTAAATCTGCACAGTGTCTTAAGACTTCCTAATCACACTCGTGTCCTTAAAGGTAGGGTAGGTAAGAATGGAGAAACCAGCTTGAGTGCGCTAGAATTTGAAAATACACAACCGAAAAAAATCAGCCCCTTCCTCACAGAGCCCCTCCTCCAACACACACGAACGAACACATGACCAATGAGGGCACGAGATAAGTTTGTGCACAGATGGAAGGCTGACAGGCAGGTAGGCCATCCAGTTACTTTAGCCGGCTCAGATGATTGGTTGTGCTTTTTACAGCGCTACGGCTTCCACTGATGATATGTATTTATTGTCAAAGCATTTTAATATATTCATTGCTATCAGGACATTAAGAGCATTCCATGGAATATAACAAAGTGTTTCTGAAGTGAATTGCCCACCCCACCTTCATTTGAAGACAACTTCGTTAGGATTCAACTCAGGGGCAAAATATTTGTCCTCTTACTAAAAACTGTAAAACGTGTAATCTTTAGGAAGGAGTTGCGCTTTGCCCGACGTGATGACACAGATGAAAGGTGTTTAACCTTAAGCATGATTATTTGTATCGATGTTTTTAACTTACATCTATGATGTGTGTTCATTGAATACCTACATCTCCATCCATATTGATGTTGCATTACAGATTTTCTTGCGTTTGGCTTTCCACGTTCTTAGTCTTTGAAAAAAAACAACACATTTTGACATTCCTTCATCAGAATCTCCTCAAGTGTTTTTTTTAAAGGTACTCTTTAAAAAAAAAGTGTGTGTACACACACCGACACACACCAACACACACACCCGACACACCACGACACACACCACACCGACACACACCACACACAAAACACACACACACCCCACATAAACACACCGACACACACACACACACACACACAGGCCAACACACACACAACACAACACACACCACCACCACAGCACACACACACACACACACACCAAGAGAGTGTGACGTGACATTGAAACTAACGTAGAAACGAAAATTTACTGACAAAGAATTACAGAAAAAAGTAAAAACATTCGTCGTGAACCTTAAACGGACGCAACTTTACACGCATATTTATTTTTTGTGTGGGAAAAGGCACACACCCACACACACACACCACACACACAACACACACACACACGACACACACACACACACAGCTATTTGAGTAGGACATCAAACACAATGTTTTGCACTGTTCTGATTTATTTGCGCGGCCAATACGACGTATAACAACCGATCAAACCCAGAAGAATTAATTTTAACACGAGTCGGGACGTCTCCGGGAGGGCAACCCTATCTTTCTGACTCTAGTCTTCATGAAAATAACTAGAGATTAAACTCTTTACACAACGCAACGTCGGTCGTATTTTGCTTTGTTTCCCTTACAAATGTATTCCCTTTAATTCTGTGCTCTTTATTTTGTTACGGTTTTATAAAGACTTTACATGGTTATAATTATCCTAAATTTTTTCATCTTTATATGTACACCTTATGTTTACATCTCATTGTTTTATATTACGTCCTATATTATATGTAATTAACACTTTTTTACCCTAAATAAGTTATACTTTACCACACAGTAGTTTCACCGCACCAGTCTGGATTTGACCCCCTACCTTTGCCTGTCCTGCGACTGGTCCCCGCCTCTCAAAAGGGACGTCTGCCTCTGGTGTTCCGTACGTGCTCGGCTCCGCGAGACCTTCGCTTTCTGGGTGTTTGTTGTTCGTCAGGCCAATTACCCGGTTCGAGAGGCGCACCCGACACTCGTGTTTAGTGGCTCGATGACGTGCGTTCCTACGTCTCCCCGCGACTACCCAATTACTCCTGTGTCTCCCCTGCTGTTCGTGAAGTGAGTGGTCCCGCCCAATCCTGCCTATAGGTGGATGTAAATCGGGTTTTGATCCAAATTCTCCGCGAGGTATTGTTTACCTCTCCGTCCCCCCGAAGGTTGTTGGAGATGTCCTTGTATGCTATTCGTCCAAATACTTCCATATGTGTGTGTGTGTGTGTGTGTGTGGTGTGTGTGTGTGTTGTGTTGTGTGTGTGTGTGTGTGGTGTGTGTGTGGTGTGTGTGTGTGTGGTGTGTGTGTGTGTGTGTGTGTGTGTGTGTGTGTGTGTGTGTTGTGGTGTGTGTGTGTGTGTGTGTGTGGTTGTGTGTGTGTGTGTGTGTCGTGTGG